CACTACAGTCTGGGTGACTGAGTGAGACTCCAACTCAATAAATAAATAAATAAATAAAAATAAAAAGTTAGCCAGCTGTCATAGCATGTGCCTGTAGTTCCAGCTACTTTGAAGGCTGAGACGGAAGGATCGTCGGAGCCCAGCAGATTGGCATTGGGGTGGCTGTGAGCGTGCCACTGCCCTCCAGCCTGGGCGAAAGAGTGAGACTCCAACTCAAAAAAACAAGAGTTGTTTGTCATTTTGGAAAATCACTTCACTGACAGATAGCTGTACTGGTATTTAAGTCATCAATACCGCATATCTATACGTGCCTGTGTTTGTATCTATGGCACTCAAAGGGATTCTATGTATATAAATGAATATTTAGTTCTTATTCCAGGAGAGCTAATATTTTTTAAAAGGTTTTGTTTGGAGTCTTATTCTGTCGCCCAGGCTAGAATGGCATGGCATGCTTATAGCCACCACAGGCTTGACCTGCTGGGCTCAGGTGATCCTTCCACCTCAGACTTCCAAATACCTGGAACTACAGGCACGCACCACCATGCCCGGCTACTTTTTTGATTTATTGTAGAGATGACGTCTTGCCAAGTTGCCCAGACTGGTCTCGAACCCGTAGGCGCAGGCAATTCTCTCACCTTGGCCTCCCAAAGTGCTGGGATAAAAGGCATGAGCCACCAAGCCCAGCTTAAAAAAGTATTTTTAATATTCACTTGAATATCATCTCTTTTTTTTTCTGAGTTGTTGTCTCACCCTGGAATGCAGTGACATGCTCATGGCCACTGCAGCCTCGACCTACTGGTCTCAGACAATCCTTCCACCTCAGCTTTCCAAGTAGGTGGAACTACAGGTGCGCTACCATGCCCAGCTTATTTTTTTATTTATTGTAGAGATGAGGTCTCATCAAGTTGCCAAGGATGGTCTCAAATCCCTGAGCTCAGGCAATCCTCTTGCCTCCACCTGCCAAAGTGCTGGGCTTTCAGGCTTGAGCCACTGCACCTGGCCAAATACCATCTCTTAAATCTAAGCTATTCACTATAAGTTTGTGCAAGTTTCCAACTATCTCATGTTTTCCTTTTTTTTTTGAGTTGGAGTCTCACTCTGTCACCCAGACTGGAGTGCAGTGGCCGCTCCCAGCCACCACAGCCTCGACCTGCTGGACTCCGGCAATCCTTCCGCCTCAGCCTTCCAAGTAGCTGGAACTACAGGCACGCGCTACCATGCCCGGCTAATTTTTTTTTTATTTATTGTAGAGACGAGGTCTCGAATCCGTGAGCTCAGGCAATCTACTCGCCTTGGCCTCCCAAAGGGCTGGGATTACAGACTGAGCCGCTGAACCCGGCCCTCATGTTTTCAAGTATAGTTTATCTGCTGAAATACATTTTATCTTTTAGGTTTCTCACCCTATATTTTTCTGTTTTATTATAGTTAGCACGTTATATTGATTTTTTTTTTTTTTTTTGAGTTGGAGCCTCACTCAGTCGCCCAGATTGGAGTGCAGTGACGGCTCCTGGCCACCGCAGCCTCGACCTGCTGGGCTCCAGCAATCCTTCTGCCTCAGCCTTCCAAGTAGCTGGAACTACAGGTGCGCTACCACGCCCGGCTAATTTTTTGATTTATTGTAGAGATGAGGTCTCGCCAAATTGCCCAGGCGGGTCTCGAACCCTCGGGCTCAGGCAATCCACTCACCTCAGCCTCCCAAGGCGCGGGATTACAGGCTGAACCACCGAACCCAGCTATATTGATCTTTTTAAAGTTGCATGTGAGGCGGGGCATGGTGACTGATACTCATAATCCTAACACTTTGTCTTTGCCCAGTTTGCCCTCTAATAAAAGATGATATTGGCCCAGCTCGGTGTCTCAGCCTGTAATCCCAGCACTTCGAGAGGCTGAGGTGAGTGGATTGCCTGAACCCGCAGGTTGGAGACCCGCCTGGGCAACTTGGTGAGACCTCATCTCTATAATAAATCAAAAATTAGCCGGGCGTCGTAGCGCGCCCTGTTGTTCCAGCTACTTGGAAAGCTGAGGCGGAAGGATCGCCGGCGCCCAGCAGGCGAGCCTGCGGTGGCCGGGAGCGGCCACTGCACTCCAGTCTGGGCCACAGAGTGAGACTCCAACTCAAAAAAAACAAAAACAAAAACCTGTGCAACCTTCCATAAAGTTCCTGATCTCCACGTCTCAGGTTTCCTGCGTGAAAAATGCCAGTAATAATTGTACAGCACACAGCATCAGTGCTAGGATTCGGTGAGTAATTAATATAAAGCTCTGGGCACACAGCACGCACCTATAAATAAATATCAGTTGTGCTCGGTTACGTTGTCTAACCCGGGTCCTTGTCAATGCCCGGAGATGTGTGTGGTTTGTGCTTTTCACTTTGTGGCGTCTGCACGGCAGAGACGATCGCCTTTACTGGCCCTACAGGATTTGAGGGTGTCGGAGACTTCGCCCCACGGGGTACTGCGGACGGGTCCGCGCAGTCGCAGAAGAGCTTGCAACGGCGTCTGGCAGCCGCTGGGGGCCGCAGGAGCCGCTGGGTTCGCCCCGCCCCGAGGGGTCAGGGGTCAGGGGTCACCGGATGGTGGAGCATCGGCTGCTGGCGGCGGAGGCGCCGGCTCCTGGGGTTATGGCACCCGCGCAGCACTGCCCTCTGTGCCGCCAGACCTTCTTCTGTGGTCGCGGACACATCTACAGCCGCAAGCACCAGCGGCAGCTGAAGGGGGCCTTGGAGCGCCTCTTGCCGCAGGTGCGGACGCCAGGCTGGCGGGGACGGCGGTGTGGGGCGGTGCGGCGAGGGCCCGAGGGGTGATTTCGTGGTCCTACTTGGCCTCTCTCCGGTAGGTGGAGGCCGCTCGCAAGGCCATCCGCGCCGCTCAAGTGGAGCGCTACGTACCCGAGCACGAGCGACGCTGCTGGTGCTTGTGCTGCGGCTGTGAGGTGCGGAGACACCTGAGCCACGGAAACCTGACGGTGCTGCACGGGGGGCTGCTGGAGCATCTGGCCAGGTGATAGCCGGGCGGGGAGCCTCATGCATGGGTGGGAGAGAGAAAGGACGCGTTTGGGCTTTGATCAGGGTGCATGGATCCAGCCAATTTACAGACGTTGCCAACCTTGAGGAGTAGGGGCTATATAGCTGCCGCGGCCACACAGGTGTTGGTGCCCCCGCTGGGACAGCCAACTTGGTCACTGCCCACCACCTCCCCCGTTCTCACAATTTTTTTTTTTTTTTTTTTGAGTTGGAGTCTCACTCTGTCGCCCAGACTGGAATGCAGTGGCCGCTCCCGGCCACCGCAGTCTTGACCTGCTGGGCTCTGACGTTCCTTCCGCCTCAGCCTTCCGC